TGAGCACTTCTTTATCGACGCTGGTCGAGTTTGCCTGCGCTCTGTATATATATGTAAGAATCGGTGAGCACTTCTTTATCGACGCTGATCGAGTTCGCCCGCGACTCCAGCATCCCCTTAATTTTTAAAAGCATGCACTCTGCTCAGCAAAGTTTATATTCATGCAACGTCTTAATTTCAAATGTAGGTTATGGACTCTGAAAAGACTTTAGTGGAATACTTAGTACATTGCAACGATATGTACCTTGGGCTATCTGCGAAGGAAACCCGCGGTTTAGCCTTTGATTTAACCAAAAAATTGAATCTGAAGGTACCAGCATCGTGGGAAGCCGCTCGCATGGCCGGTGAAGATTGGCTCGAACGACATCTAATATTATCCATACGCAAACCAGAAACGACAAGTTTAGCACGTGCCACTAGTTTCAATCGAACAAATGTAAAAAGTTCTTTGCGCTGCTAAAATCTGTGTGGAATAAATATCATTTCCCAATTCACTGCATATGGAATATAGATGAGACGGGAATAACAACCGTTCAGACACCGAACAGAATCATCGGCCGAGTGAAACAAATCGAGCGAGTGACTTCTGCGGAACGAGGAAACCTCGTAACTTTGATGATGGCGGTGTCAGTGATTGGGCAATTTCTACCTCCTTTTTTTATTTTTCCTCGTAAACATTTCAAGGAATATTTTCTTAACGGCGGACCACCAGGCTGCACAGGTGCAGCGAATCCAAGTGGCTGGATGAACGCGGAGCATTTTGTCAAATTCTTACAGTTCTTCCAGTCCCATGTGCATGCCTCCGTCGACGATCCAGTTTTACTGATACTCGACAATCACGAATCACATTCGTCCATCGCTGGTCTCAACTATTGTAAAGCGAATGGAATCATTGTCCTATCATCACCGCCGCATTGTTCGCATAAGCTGCAACCGCTGAAACGCACCATCTACGACCCGTTAAAGAAATGTGTAAACGCACAGTGCGATAACTGGATGACGTCGAATCCTGGTAGGACAATGACGATGTACGACATCCCCGGAATCGTGGCTAAGGCACTACCACTTGTCGTAACGTATCAAAATATTGTGTCCGGGTTTGAATGCACTGAAATTTCTCCATTCAACCCGGACATTTTCCAGGAATATGAATTTTTGACGAACAGCGTTACGGATAGGGAGTACCCTTTTACTTTCGTTGATCCCGAAAAAGTCTACCTCAACGCAACCGACTCGGACGCAGCCGATCAGAAGACAAAGTCGATCCCATGGCTTTATCCATGTCTCATTATGGTGATACATTGTGGGGGAACTTGAGCGCAACGACGCTTCAAAGTATTCCTGAAGCCGCACCGAGACAGCCGGCTCATGAAGAACGAAGAACGAGCGTCGTCCTTACTGACTCGCCTCAAATGAGAGAATTGGCGACTGAGCAGTAAAATTTTAAATGAATTTTTATATTTTTCTTTTAAAAAACAATTATTAATATATATGTATTGAAAATGCAGTGGGACGGATTAGCCCCCCGGGGGGGGGGGGGGGTGACGGTTAAACCCCGGCATTTTTGAGATTTCAATTTTTCCACCGTTGTCGTTTTTGCTCTATACCGGTTAAACAAAGTGACGTAGATAAAAATTTCCTATATTGTAGCTAAAGGTTCACTCTTTACAGTGGTATACCACATTTAACTAAAATTATTTATTTTGTTGTTAAAAATCGACACCGAAAAAAACTGACGGTTTAGCCTCGGTCTCCCCTACAATACGAGGACTGTTCAAAAAGTTCCCGAACTTGGTCTTGGGGTTTACTTATAACTTAGGTCGGTATTCATAGTCGGATCTTATATTTAAGACCGTCTTAAGTGCGATATTAAGATGTTATGAACCAATCAACAGGGCCGTATTAGCATCTTAAGACATTACTTAAGACAGTCTTGAAATAAAATCCGACTATAAATATGGGCCACAGAGTCGTATTAGCATCTTAAGACATTATTTAAGACAGTCTTGAAATAAGATCCAACTATGAATACGGACCTTAATCAGCCTTATCTCCTTCTGATTAAGCTGACTAAATAAGTTATAAATAAACCTCCAAAAATTATACAGACAAAGTTCGGGAACTTTTTGAATAGCCCTCGTTTATATGACATTTTTTCTTGTTTATGTGTGGAAAACTCATCCCCAAAGTTTGTACATAGAGAAACGGCATGAAAGCGGCCATCCCTTCGATCTTTCTGAAGCCGGCAGAACTCGCATTTTCGACCTGTCCCTTGAGAAAGTCGACGTCAGCTACGTCCGTTTCGCTCGATAACGGTACATGGTTCGTATGTGCTATAGTTCATGTCCGGACTACTCAGATGAAAGATAGTCCAGATGAGAATTAGATGAGATGAATAGATGAATAAATGAGACAAGGATCGAGATCATCTCGACTAGAGTTATCTTCCATCTGAGTAGTTCGGACATGAGCCACGTACCGTTACCGAGCGTAACGGGACGTATAGTTGACGTCCACTTTTTCAGAGAGTAGTATCAGAACATGACTTCCGGTTGCCGTCCGGTGACCGCCTTCAGGTTTCTCTCTGGTTTGTATAAGTATTACTGGATCACCCTGTATATATGTATATTATTAATAATAAAATGGTTTTTTTTATTGATATAAATTATATTGAAAAATAACAATCCAGCAAAACAAGAAAAATAATTTTTATAATATATATCATAAACTTACTTATAATGCATTGAAGTCAGTCAATTTTTACCAATAGCCGTAACCTGGTCCGTAACTGTAATGGTGGTAATGAGGGTAGTAATTATGATAATGGGGATGGTTATGGTAATGATAATGGTAGTTGGGATAACTGTGGGAATATCCGTATCCGCCGTATCCACCATATCC